ATTGAAGTTTTAACAAACTTCATTACATTTCTATCCAAATGTACCATTAAAGGCAGTGATTTACCTGTTTGCTGCTTCTGCCAGTGGTCCTCCATTTTTCCTCTTCCTTTGAGCAGCTGAGCGGTTTTAGGGAGATTCAAAAACAAATTGACCATTTGCAATCTCATACATAAATGATCCGTGGCAATGTAATGAAAGGCACTCCGACAAATGACACCATTTTCACAGCAAATTGGTGAGAATTTGAAGCCCCAGTCTTGAGAGGATCCAGGTTTCTGACATCTCTCTCTGCAGATTAGCACAATAAAGAATTGGATTTCTTCTTTTCAAAAATACTCCAATGCTTTATATCCTGTCACTTTACTTTACGCACCGTTTGACCCTTTAACCCCAACAGAAAAAGTATTTAAAGCCCAGTATATTTCACATTGACTACATTTTAACATTACATTTTGACATGCAATTCACAAAAATTTTCAGGGTTTTATACATGTTTAATGCTTATTCATACATTATAATATTTTAATTTTATGTTGTTGTTTTTTTAGTTGCAGTGTGTTTTGTTTCACATGTTTAACACACAAACGCTGCATATTTAGTCTTCTCTCAAACGGAGACACTCTATTCCACCTTGTGATGTCATGTGGTAGTACAGGAAGTGCTCCACTGTGTTTTAAACTCCATACACCTTCACTAGAATGATTTGGATAATTTCAACACTGGAATTTCCAATCTCTACACAACAAAATATAAAGGTAGCTCTTAAGCTGAGACCTTCACAAGGTGGGACAGAGCATTTTGAGTTTTGGAGATGTAGACTAGCAAATCACAATAACATAGGAGCTTTAATACCCCTACCTTTTTGAAATTGTACCCAGTGTAATTCATTACTTACTCAAATCTCAGCACTTCCCCTTTGTCCTGTGGGCTCCTTGCTTCCCTCAAATTTCCCCATACATTATAGATCTGAAGGTACAGCAACCCCGATACGAGCACTTTCATCTTAATATCTTGTCCTTTTCCTTTTCTTCCTGACCCCGCACATCTCCATAAACTGTATTTTTTTCTGTTTAATTCCTTGTTTGACTGCCCATTCCAGAGGCTATGGTTGTGATGAAGTACCTACCCCAACAGGTCGTTAGGACAGCCCTGGGAAAATGATGTTTAATGGTTGCCGTGGTGAATTCATAAATCACTAATTTTTCAGAGCACCTGGCCTATTTAAAATGGCTTAAACACAAAGAGTCTGCGAGGATTATATAACAAGATAGCTCTAACGGCAAGTGAGATAATAGTGTAGGTACCTTTTAAGCTAAAGCACTAACATTCCATGAGAATATAGGCGTTTGAATTGTACATTTAATGGCAATCTGGGCTGTAATTACTACCTGTGAAATAAAAGTGCTGCTGTAGTATCAGGTAGTATTAAGTAGTAAGAAGTAATGGGAAGTAGGGATGTAACAGTATCCAAAATATCATGATATTGTATCGTTAGAAGTCTCACAGTAATATCGTGGGCCATTACAATATGTCGAATCTCAAGTCTCTTCGATTAAATTCATTGTTATGGTGCAGCAACAGCTAAAAAAAACAGTGAGAACTACATAGACCATGATCCTTTGCTCTGTTTCAGTCTAATCCACGTGCTGAAATAACTATTATAAGCACTTTTAAAGCTTAATTATTTGGATTGTGATGAGGGAAAAGTAGCATGTTCACAATTTTATTTGCCCCAACAAAATATTGCAGTAAATATCATACTCTATTGTGACATGCATATCGAGAAAATATCGTATCGGGGGATTTGGATATCGTTACATCCCTAATGGCAAGCAGAAGTAAGTAGTCTTGTAGTATAAGTAATTATTGATAACAGTGGTATTGGTAGTAGTATTAGTAGTATTAGTAGTAGTAACAGAAGTGACAGTAGTAGTAGTGATAATAATAGAATTAGTAGTAATAAATATTGAGTAACTAGAGATAGTTAGTAATAAGATTTGTATTAGTAGTAGTAACATTAGTAGTAGTACCAGGAACCAGCAGTGACAGTAGTAGTGATAGTAATAAAATTAGAAGTAGTAAGTTGTGGGTAGCTAGTGGTAGTTAGTGGTAAAAGTTTATAGTAGTAAGAGTAGTATTGGTAGTAGTAACTTGTAATAGTAACAGCGGTGACAGTAGTAGTAAAAGTAGTAGTATTTATAGTAGTAGAATTAGCAGTAATAAATATTGGGTACCTAGGCATAGTTAGTAATAAAAGTAGTATTATAAGTATTATATACTTATTATAAGTATATAAGTAGTAAAAGTTTTTAGTAGTAAGAGCAGTATTGGTAGTAGTAACAGCAGTGACAGTAGTAGTAACAGTAGTACTGATAATAGTAGAATTGGTAGTAGTAAGTATTGGATTGCTAGGAATAGTTAGTAATAAAAGTAGTATTAGTAATAGTAACAGTAGTAGTAGTGGTAGTAGTAGAATTAATAGTAGTAAATATTGGGTAGCTAGGGATAGTTAGTAATAAGATTAGTATTAGTAGTAGTAACATTAGTAGTAGTACCAGCAGAGACAGTTGTAGTAGTGATAGTAGTAGTAGTAAGTAGTGGGTAACTAGGGGTAGTTTGTAGTAAAAGTATTTAGTAGTAAGATTAGTATTGGTAGTAATAACATTAGTAGTAGTACCAGCAGTGACAGCAGTAGTAGTGATAGTAATAAAGCTGTAGTAGTAGTAGTAGTAAGTAATCCCAGTAATAGTAAGACTTCTGGTAGTAGTATTGAGTAGTGGTATAGGCATATAATCTCATATACTTTATTACATTTGCAAAAGAAGATTTAAATAAGAAAATTCATACTTACTATTTACTTTTACAGGAACAATACTAGTAGTTTTCTGTGATGACGACTTTTACCATCTTTGTATCATGTACTGTTGTGTATGTGCCCTGTTTTGCTCTCCACCACACATTTTATTACATTTCTGTACTGTCTCATATTTGTGTTGCATTATTTGATTTATGTCTGCTTGCTTCTTCTCTGTTCCCGTCACATCACCCAGCTATCAGGATTATGAACCAGAAATCAAGTAAGACCAAATTAGAAAGGCGGCCATTTTGTTCCCTAACTCCCATTTTTCATTCATTCTTCCATCCCATGTGAACCGATCAGGTCCCTAATCCAAAGAGCTGCAGAATCATTAAGATGATTTAGTGCCAGTCGTGTTGCAGACGGTTTTGGTTTGCACACAGCACTACGGTCTTGGATATACACAGCCTACGCATGACAGGGGATATTAGTTTGAAATGATATCTGTAACTTGCAATCTACACACCAGGGCACCCACATTTGTCAAATCACTGTATATTTTAAAGGTGCACTGTGTAACATTTATAATGGGGAGTTCAGATGTTTGTCTCAGTGGAGATGAGATTGATTTACCTGGTGTTCCACATTATGGCATGAAACTTACTTATCTCTTAGATTTTTATTGGTTAAATTCACTGTTGGGCAGGTTACTTCAGAACTGTATTGTGTTATTTATTACTTGTCACTGGCATTGTAAAGTTACATTACAAAATTATTCCATTTAAAATGTAAGGCATTACACGACTATTGCATTTCTTTTAAGTTACTCTCACCAAAATAACTGTGTGAGGATGCCAAAGTTTTGCGCCGTATATGGACTAAACCAGGACTGAACCAAGAGGACTGAACCAGGACTAAACCAGGACTAAACCAGGTCTAAAACAGGACTAAACCAGAACTAAACCAGAGCTGAATCAAGACTGAACCAGGTCTAAACTAGGCCTGAACCGAGGACTGAGCCAGGAGGACTGAACCAGGACTAAAGCAGAACTAAACAGAGCTGAACCAAGAGGACTGAACCAGGTCTAAATCTGGACTAAAACACAACTATACCAGGATTAAACCAGGTCTAAACCAGGGCTAAACCAGGACCAAACCAGGTCTGATCTTAGACTACAACTTGGAATCTCGGACCGCCCCTGAGAGAACCCAGAGTCCGTGGAGCAGGGTGTCCACAAAGCGCGATCGGGCGTCAGCTACGATTGGCCCCATGGAGTGCGGAGCTCTGAGCCGGTCCTTTCGCCCGATGGTCTACGCGGGCGCACCTCCGGGCCTGTCTCGAGATTCAGAACCGGAATGATGGTGTTTCACCGCTGCTGATATCACAGTGATTTTAGCGAATTTGTATGAAGAAAAATGAAAAACCCATCACTTCCACCCAGGTTAAAAATACATTGCAACGCGCTTTACTGACATTTGTACCAAGTAAAATATTACCAGTTTTACTGCGTTACAGCAAAAAGCAACGCATTACAGTAATTTGTTACTTTTATAACTCGTTACTCCCAACACTGGTTAAATTGGACTGTAAGCAGGTTTGCCTCTTCACAGATCTGACATGTAACTGTGCTTCTTGTGTGTATAGAAAAGTATAAGTTTAATGTCATACTGTTGAACAATCCAGACAAGCAAAACTATCTCCACAGAGACAGAGAAAATCTACACAGTGCACGTTTAAAAGCATGATAATAATTCAGAAATTCCAGGTACGAGTTTGGCGGTGTAATATAAAAGAGTGGACATACACTTAGCAAAAGAAAAAATTCCCACTGACCATGAATGCCTCTTGTTTTGTACCCAACACAAAACGGCTTGTTAAAAGAAATATGTTGTTTTTCAGTACACCATCACTGAGCATTCTTGTTTGCCCTTCAAAACCATTTATTTTAGTTTAGTGCGCATGTAACCCTCAAGCCAGGAGAAAATCACCATGTAACACATCTATATAAATAGCCCTTTAATGAAACGCCCTATACATTCTTCCTACCCTTTATAAAAGTTAATGTCATTGGCACATGTAACCCTATAGCCTCTAACAATGTTGATCCTCCCACAGCAGCTATCAATTATTTTTAGCCTTCACTTTTCTCACCTAGATGTTCCTATGTATGTTTTTTTCTAACTCTGCTTTTGTCTTTTGCAGGTCTTGGGTGATAGGAGCCATTGCGTTGCTGTGTCTTCTTGGTCTTACCTGGGCTTTCGGTCTAATGTACGTCAATGAAAGCACCGTTGCCATGGCGTACCTATTCACCATCTTCAACTCACTTCAAGGAATGTTCATCTTTATATTCCACTGTGTACTGCAAAAGAAGGTCTGGATTTCAATCAATTTATTTAATGTATTTATTCATTTCTACAGAGGTGGGTAGAGTAGCCAAGAATGTATTCAAGTACAAGTAACTTTACTTCACTGGGCTTTCCCGTTGAGAAACACAGAACCAGTGCCGCATGCATATGTCTTCCTGGAGCTGCCAGTGTGGGGAAAAACGATCAAACTTGACTTGGCGCGTTTAGCCACTTATAACAGGTCAATAGTGAAAACAACTGAATGAATTGGCTTGTTAACTGTGTGTACAGGCTGACCACGGCAAACACGAGGATTTCAAAAGTACATTTCAAAGCACTAATTGAGTCTTTTTGGACCTCGGCTCTTTTAAACGATGCATAACTGCCCCAGGAACATGCTGTGCTGTTGCTCCATATGTGCACCTAGTTCGGGCAGTGGGGCCATCCTCATCCACTTTTAATGCATCCTAGAAAATATATGCCCAACACATGCAGTTTTTAAGCTTGCGTAGGGTGAAATACACATGCAAGTTCCATGTGTCCCTGTTCTGTCTGCATGTTGCATCTTACTTAGAGTTTGTAGTTAATGTAATTTGAAGAACAAAACATGAAACAATTCCCAAAATCTTGTATTTTCAAAAGATGGACCACAAACCAAATCATTTAATATTGTCAATACAAAGCCTTTGTCTTTTCTATAATTGGGAAGTAGTAGTAACCAAAACTGTTACTCAGATAAGCCTACTTTAACACTGTGAAATATATATTATCAAGTAGAAGTACAGGTTATCCCCAGGTTTGACTACCCCAAATTTAAGACTTTTTAAAGACCTTTTTAAGACCACTTAAATGAAAATTAAGACCAACATTGTATCCATTATGCGAGCAAAAAACACCAGATTCAATTCTAATAATGACCAACCAACTACGTACTATATCTAGAATCTAAGAGCCACTGTGGATTAAACCTACACTGTCCCTTGGTCCATCCTGCGTCTTCCTCCACTGTACTGATTGTTTACTCATTGCCACCAGTGCTAGAAACCAAGTATTTTTTGCGCATACTCCAAATTAGATGTTTATTCACATTACATGAGTTGACGTTGTTTTTTCCCCCTCCTTTCGTTTAACATTGCACTGCAGCCCGGTTGAGTATACAAAAAAATAGGCTAATGAAATTTAAGACCTTTGTGAAAAAAATAAGACTTGGACAACATAATTTAAGACTTTTTAAGGCCTTAATTTAGGAACATGAAATTTAAGACCTTTTTCAGACTTTTAAGACCCTGCAGCTACCCTGAAGTAAAAGTCTGTACTTGAGTAAATGTAACAGAGTACTACCCACCTCTGCACTTGTGTGAGTATTTAGTGTAACCTGATGTTTATGTGCAGGTGCGTAAGGAGTATGGGAAATGTCTGCGCACTCACTGCTGCAGTGGGAAGAGCGTGGAGAGCTCCATTGGTTCAGTGAAGGGCCAGGCCTCTCGCGCACCAGGACGCTACTCCTCCGGCTCACAGGTGGGCTTTTCATGTGTTCAACATAATAGCTTATATTTTCTGCGTATTGAATTTAGTACTTCAGAAAATAAAAATAATGCATTAGTCTCGTATAGCACTTTCCCAGATGCTTGTTTTAAGTTTCTATAAAATGTCATGCATTTTTCACTGTTGTGCATATAGTATCACATTACCTAACTCCACGGAGACAAGCAGAGAGTGCAACCAGGCAAGTTACAGGTCAGATCTATGGAGAGACCGGCCCACTCACAATGTTTTTATGCTATTTTTGAAAGCAACTTAAGTCATTTTATGAAATATATACAATATTCAAAAGCTTATTGCTATACTGTGGCAAAACAATAACACCTCTATGGAGAGAAGCAGATGATGGACCATCCTCACCTGGAAAGTTACATAGTGCACCTTTAAGCTCTATGGACCAAAAATCCATGACTCTTTCTTAAAAACGTATATAAGCTGTATTCAAATTACAGCTACTTGTCTGCAAGCCATTTTGAATGTTATGTAAACATTATATCAGCCCTATTTTTTGATGAAACTGTGAATTTCTCTTCTCTAGCTCAAACTGAAGTGCAGTATAAAATATTAAAAAGCCATATGTATTAAACATTTGGCAGGAGGCAAACCTAGCACAAACATCCCCTTAATCATTTATAGAATTTCCATCTGTTTATAATAATATGACTCATAACTCTTTAGATTTAAATATTCCCAAGACTTATACCCATATTCGTCACTAACACCAGGAAGTGCTCGTTTGCATTTTCAAGTCTAAATTTTCAGTAGTCATCTTTGCAGTTGCTTTTCCCTGATGCAAGCTCTGGTCACACATTGTGCTGCAGTGCGCTGACTACAGTGTTGGCTGGAGCTAGGTCAGGAATCCGCTCATGCTCGCGAATGCCGACTCGACTGTCTCTGACAAAATATGCAGGATCCGAGCAAAAGCGCTAAGTCTCATCTCTAGCTAGCACTCCAACTAATAGATTCCTCCAACATAGACTTAAAGGTCCGACACCTGCTTGTCTACATGGAGATTTTATTTATTTACCTGGAATGTTTCACAGTATGGCATGAAAAACTTTGTCAATTACATGTGTATAAAAAGAAGTTAAAAAGTAGCATTCTTTTTATCTCCAGACAAGTTCCTTTAGAATACTGATATACTGATGATATCAATAATCTAGGTACATATTTGGAGAGGTAATAAATAACTATTGACACTTTGAAATCCTTGTGAATGACGGCGCGACTGTCTCTGCCAAAATCCGCAGGATCTGTGCAAAAGCATAAGTCCCCCCGTAAAAGCTAACACGCAAACTAATATATTCCTCCTACATAGACTTGATTCACCGTGATTTGCCATATTTGATCATCTTATGTGTTTTTTAATGCCTTCCCTTCACACCATTCAATTATAAATATTCCTGCTGAGAAAACCTGCGCTGCAAGCAGGATGGTGCATAAAGATCAAAATGTTTTAATTAAGAAACATTGTTTTGACAAGAGGGCCCTGACCCCACATTTCATTTCACTGAAGGAGAGAAAAAGAAGAGAACATACTTTGTAGATGAGGACTACTTTTTATTTCCTCTGGAGATTTTCAAATGAACAAAAAGCGAGCTAAAGGTGCGCTTAAACCTGTTGGCACTTCAAACAACAGTGGGTGCCATACGAGAAGGCGCTGTTCTCTTAATGTAATGAGCTGTGATACTGTGAGATATGAGTCACTGGGTGTCAAAGGGTTGTCATTTATGGAAGCGGTGGGGTTAATATGACAATCATAACGTAAGGAATGTTCATTTAAAGGAATGCTGTGAATATGGAGACAGCTTCTATTGTTCAAACTGACAATTCAGCAAGCCTGTCTGCCCGGAAATGCATTACACTTGATTAGTAATATTAAAGATGGTCTAATTGTACATAGTCAGTTCTGATCGGGCTGTTAAAGGTGCACTGTGTAACATTTTTAGTAGGCAAAGTAATAACATCTCCATGGAGACAAACAGGTAGCAGACCCTCCACCGAAAAAGTTGCACAGTTTTTAAATAAATGTCTGTCCCACTCATTACCCCCGTTGCTGTTGAGTGATACATGGAACATAGAGAAACCAACGCACCTGTCTCAAGTAATTGACGTGCGATGTTCTCATTCTTTTATATCATTGGAGTGTCAGTGATACCAAATCTGTCCAGTGAACAAATTTAAAGATGCATATTGTAACTTTTCTGGTGGAGAGATGTTATTATTTTAGATAAAGTATGTTCCACAGTATGACATTCAAGTTGTCTTTTACTATGGAGACAAATTACAGAATACACTCACAGTAAGAAGAATGTTTTTCACTGTATTAATCAAGCAGTAAAATAATCTGTAATTGAAGATACTGTTGAACATTCTAATCATAATCATAATAATAATAATGCACCAGTTTTATATAGTGCTTTTCTGGACACTCAAAGACGCTTTACAGAGTATTATTCATTCACTCCACACTCTGTAGTGGTACTAGTGTAGCCACAGCTGCCCTGGGGCAGACTGATGGAAGCAAGGTTTCATTCTGCACCATAGACCCCTCCGACCATCACCAACACTCACGCACACCACTTTCATACTAGGCCATGTGGGTGAAGTGCCTTGCCTAAGGACACATTGACAGTTTTTGTGACTATGCGACTTTTGTGGCGCCTGATTTTCCCAGCAGTCTCCCATCCAAGTACTACCCAGGCCCGGCCTTGCTGAGCTTCTGAGATCTGACGAGATCAGGCTTTGACAAGCTGGTATGGCCACAATTCTAGGCAAAGAAATATTATCCCCAGTGTTGTGTGCTGGAACTTCCAGAAAACGTCCAAAAATGATGGAATTTACTACTTGATGCAGTCGCTCAGTGTTCCATAATGTGTAAAACCGGTAGGGCATCCGAACCATTACAGGAACAAATTAAACATCATTTAAGTTTGCTTATGGTGTCAGTTCAGCAAATTATATAAAAGAAATCAACCAAAAAGATTGAAATACTTGAGATGGAAGCTGAAGGACTTCTGGCTCTTGCTGTATTGACCTTCCCTGTGGGTTTTGCCTGAATAAGCAGCTCCGAAGCTTGTGCAGCCGCGCATGGGACGTATAATTACCCAGGATGAACTGTCTTGGATCAAGCCCTCTTCTCCTCACACTTTCTGGGAGCTTGATGGACGACTTTATATGGACTATCTCATCTTTAATGCATCGCGGGGTTAATGCAAGAAGCAGGCATCTTTTAAAGGAGGACTAAACACCAAAACTCCGCCCACAGCCATGTTTCAAACAGAGTTGGCATACTGGGCAGTGCCTGGAGGACAAAAGCGGAGAGTGATGGGGGAGGAGGATGGGGTTTGGCGGACTAAAGAGGCAAGTGAGGGAAAGGGAACACGGGGCCTGCAGGACTAAAGAGAAGAGTGAGGCGAATAGGGGTGAGGTCTCTAGGACTAAAGGTGAGAGTGTTTGTTATGTAATCTGGTTTAATTATGCCAATACAGTGTGATGTCATGTGGTACTTGAAATTGCAGTGGCCCACACTATTTTGCCTGCAAATTTGCTTAATTTGTACCAAAAAATAAAAGATTAGGAACAGTAGAATATGCTTTTAAAACACCATGTACACAGTTTAGTATCACAACCATGGATTTAATGTTTAGTTCCACTTTAAATATTCTAAAACGTATTTCTTGTTTTGTTGTTGTTTTTCAGAGCCGTATCCGCAGAATGTGGAATGACACGGTGCGAAAGCAGTCGGAGTCTTCCTTTATGACTGGAGACATCAACAGCTCGGCTTCACTCAACAGAGGTACACGAACCTAAACACCAGTACTCTCTGCCTGCACTGCCCTTACACTGACCTCTTGGCTAATGCAACAGCGTATAAGAAGGCAGGTGAATTGGAGCACATGCTGGCAACGAGAAGTATGAAAAGCCATTCCACCTGACAACCTCAAACTTACACTTAAAGGGCCCATATTACGCTATCTTCTGATCTTTGTTATAATGTTGTTTCCTCATCGAAAACATATGTGAAGTTGTGTTTCATTGTATTCACATGTTTAACACACACACACACGCCACTCTTTTTCCACCTTGTGATGGTATGTGGTAATGCAGGAAGTGCTCTACTGTGTTTTTAATCTCCATGCACTTTCACTAAAATCATCTGGATTATGTCAGTAGTGTAATTGTCGCAGCTGTTAACTTGAAAACTACGGTCTCATAAGGTCACAAGGTGGAAAAGAGCATTTTGATCTTGACTAATAATAAAGTGTGACTCAAACATGTGTGAATGAAACAAAACAACTCTGGCTATGTTTCTGACAAGGCAACAACATTACATCTTGGCTTTGAACTCACAAAAATCAATTTTGCGTAATACAGGACCATTAAAATACATTTTAAATGAATGCTGCAAAGGCTCACAAAGTGTAATTTGAACTGGTACATAGAATTTCTGTGGTAATAAGTGAGAATTAAGTGAAGCTGTTAGGTGGAAGCAAACTTGTTAAATACATTTTTTAATTAAACATTTTAAAATAATTAAAATGTGTTAAATCTGCAGAATAAATTTGCCCTCCACTAATCTTTTTTTTTTTTTCAGTTGGGTATTTGTGAGTGTAGTGTATTTAAAGTTTTAGTATATTGAAAAAAGTGAAACATTGACAACTTTTAAACAGTCACTTCTTTCTCAATTTAGTGTTTTATATTGATCCAAAGCAAAAACTAAATTGCAAGATAATCTCTATTAAAATATATACCAATTTAACATAACATTTAAATGGAAAAGGCAATTATGTACAGTATATAAAGTAGGTCAGCATTTTAACCTAGTGTATCTGTCTTTTAGTAGTACTAGTAGTTTTACGTAGCAGACATGGTTTAAAGTAATAAAGTACTTTTGCTTTGGTAGACTGGGCACCCCTTCCCCCTCTTGTTAAGTGAGAATAGATTTTGTAAAAGCACTTGATTCAAATAGGCAAACCCACATTTTAGCCTAATGTATTTGAAATCTCCCTGTACAGAGATATAGTAGGCCCCATCCTCCCAGTCCTCGGCAGCCTGATAGTGGCTCTAAATATTCTGCCTGCTACACTAATGCACGGTTTCAGTGATGGATGGCTGTTCTATCTTACAGAGTGGGTGTCGGGATCGCTATAATTCGGGTGCCTGCTTACAGTCAACAGTGCAGGCACCCTGGTGGTAAAGACAACAGTGGAATTAAAATGACAAATTTGAAAAACAAAAACTGAAACTAAATAATCAACACAGCTAGAGATAAGTAAAAATAGTAATTCTTGAGGTGTCACATTAACATTTTACACATATTATTACACAAAAATTAATTCTCACATTAATAAACTCATTACATTGCAATATTAATTCAGAAAAACAAAAACATATGAAAACTCTAGAGCTTTTTACTATTTACTGCATCGTAAACAAAGGTATAAGTGTATTATTAGTCATTTTAATTGGTTAAAACCTCCCTCCTGTGCATATTTTTATACTTAAAGGTCCTATATTACACAAATTGTGAGCTATAAACCATGTTAAAATGTTGTTACCTTATCAAGAACATACCCAGAGTTTTGTTTTGTTTGAGTAATCCTGGATTTTTAGGCTGTCTACATTTCCAAAAATCAGAATTCCACAAGTCGGAACAGCGTGTTTTCTATTTGAGAGAAGAACTCGGTCTAAATATGCAGGGTTTGTGTGTTAAACATGTGAATGAAACGAGAAACAACACCGGGTATGTTTGTGATGAGGAAACAACGATATAACATAGATCAGAAAATGGTGTAACATAGGCGATTTAATTTGATTTTTACAGAAGTCAAGTACAAAATATTTACTCTCTGACAGATTGGGAGCAACACTGCAGTGTGTGGGAGGAAGCAATTTGTTTATGCATTGTAGGATAAAATGTATGGCTACCTGCTTGTCTCTACGGAGAAGTTATTGCCAAGAATGTTCCAAGGTCTGGCATTAAATATAGCTTATTGCCATGATGACAAATATGTGACGCCATCAGTCCAAGTTACTGGTCACATCTGTGGAGAGCCGAATCTGCTCATAGCAACAATGCATGCTAAAATATATCTTGAAAATCTCAGGGTATTTTTTTTATCAGTAAAAAACACCTAAAGTTTAATGCCATACTGTGGAATATTCCAGGCAAGGCAGTGAAGACAAGCAAATGGCGCACCTCCTATCAGAAAAGTTACAACAAGAAAACAAACTCACAATACAAATGAGAGTGGCATGAGTCGGCCCAAAAAACAGCAGCAAAAGTCGGCCCAAAAAAACAGCAGCTTATTGATTCAAACCGTATTCTAGTACATTCTGTTGTGTCCTTTGGCAAGACACTTGGCTCATCGCTCTCTCCTGACACAGAATGTAAAACTACACCAGTACAATTTACCCCCTTGGTTTTAAGTATAAGTTTAAAAGAGTTGCTTAACTGAAGGTTTAACTTAGAACTGCTTTGATTCATTCCAGTACACAGAATCTGATGACTCATTGCACCAAAAATATGACGAGGATTACATAAATAGCAAATGAGCCGCTGTTGTGTCCAGGAGAGCAAAGAGGAGAGAGTGATGAAGAGGGCACTCAGACCAATGTGAACCTTAGACATCTCAGAGTAGTTTTCTGGTAGAGATTCCACTTGCTTTGCCAAGAACGATCCACTGTATTAAGCGTATTCATCTCCGTGGAGACAAGCAGTTGACGCTGCCAGGCCAAGTTACTGGTCAGATCTATGGAGAGGAGATCACAGCCTGTTTTTCAAGGTATTGAGCAATAATAACATCCATGCTGAAGTACATGCAGTAAAGATATACTTAATACCTTATTGTGGTAATAATATTCCCAGCAAAGAAAGCAACATCTTCGTGGTGATAAGCAAGTTACATAGTGCACCTTTAAAGGCTAAAATAGTGGAAATACTGATGGTCAGTGCTAGTCAAATTGCAAGATGATAGACAAGCAACTAAATATTAAGTGAAATACTTGTAGTGTTTATAATCTTAAACTTTTTTACTGTCACCATAAAAAATGTGAATAGAAATAGAAATAACTAGAAATGAAATACAAATTACTGCATTCATACAAGAAGTGGAAGAGACAAATGATTAAATGGGGCAAAAAAACACTAGTCATATCCAATGATATTGTTCACAAACAGAGGTCTTGAGACAAGCATACAAAAGGAAAATATATTGCATTGTTTGTCTATTTAATCAAATTTCAATTGGGTTTATTTTTGTAGAGCACAAAATTACAACAGCAATTGCCTTGCAGGGCTTCCTAGAACTGCTGATTTAATTAACCAGCAGAAAGTTGGCACAAGTGTATCTATTTATTTGGCCTCACAATGCATCTGTTTTACTTTGAACTGATGTAAATGTAGGACTGCAGTGTCTTGTACCTAAATGTGGTTACACAATCCATACACTGTTTTCTGATTTATGTTAAAATGCTGTTTCCTCATCAAAAACATCCCTGGAGTTTTGTTTTGTTTCATTCACACGTTTAACACTCAAACCCGGCATATTCAGGCTTCTTCTCTCAAACAGAAAACACTTTTTTCCACCTTGTGATGTCATGTGGCAATACAGGAAGCGCTCCACTGTGTTTTTAAACTCCATATACCTTCACTAGCATCATTTGGATAATTTCAGCCCTGGAATTGCCAATCTCTATTGAACAAAAGGTTAAAGGCAGGTGCTCACTTGCAATCTACCTCTTCATGACATCACAAGGTGGAATTGAGCATTTTGAGCTTTGGAGATATAGACAGAGTAATAATAAAGTCTTTCTCAAACATGTGTGAATGAAACAAAACATCTCTGGGTGCGTTTTTGAAGGAAGTAACTGCATTATTACATGGCTTAAAGCTCACAGGAGACAATTCAAATAATAGCCGACATTAGCCGCATAGTTAACACGCTGCAAATGGTCACGTTGCATTTGGCCTTGTAACATTACTAATCACGTATAAATGGCTGTCACTGCTGCCTTGGCGATCTGATCTATATTTGTATATGTTCTGTGTGTCTCTCTCTCTCTGTCTGTATCTATGGCTGCAACAGGGGCTATGGCTAACCATCTTATACCTAACGCACTGCTCCGTCCTCATGGCACTAACAATCCCTATAACACATTGCTTGGGGAATCGGCCGTCTATAACAACCCGCTGGGCATGTACAACCCTCAAGGTGTGCTGGCTTTGTTTCATTCTTTTAACATTTTGTTGAACCAGAGCTGTGTTTTCCTATGTTTATAGCCAGAGGTGGGGACATGTACTCAAGGAAGAGCAGCATTACTTCAAAATAATATTACCGCAAAATAACATAAGTACAGAATTACTCAAGTAGAAATAAAAGTACAGGGGTGAAATACTACTCCAATTAGAGTAACATAAAGAGTAACTTTAACTGTGAAGTGACTGTAATTTGAAGGTCAAAAATTAATAAATAATGCACAAATTCTGGTATTTGCAAAGGATAGGCCCAAATAATTTGAAATAAACACACATTTTCAAAACATTTAAACTAGTTTTGTACTTGTAGAGTTATTCACAGTGGGAAGAACAACTAAAGCATTTAATCAAGTACTGTTACTTATAAAAAAATAACTCGATTAAAAATTTACTCAACTAAACATACAGAGTAAATGTAACTGAGTACTACCCACCTCTGTCTATGCCTGTGCAACCTCTTATGTGGTTTCTGCAACATTATTTTTGGGAAATAAGCAAACCTAGAGGGAGATGTAGCAGGGCTATATAATAAGAGAACACTGCTCTAGTTGTGTGTGTGTTAGAAACAAAAATGTAGCCAAAAAAATCCTAGTTTTGTGATGCTGTGAAGTATTTTTATTTTATTTTTTTTACAAGGTGGTGTATTCTGGATTCTGAAAGCTATTCCAGTGAAGCAAGATAAAAGTTGTATAAATGTTTAGCTAATTATCAAAAGTAAAAGTTAGAAGAGTTAGAAAAATATTGGGAGCTTACATAACGCCTTCATAAATATGCTTGACTATGTGTCCTCCTTAAACTAATCTATCCCAACAACGTAAGAAATTAGTAAGTACATTTAAAAAGCACTATAAAAATGGGGCAATCTTATGCATAATTAATATTTACTGATTATAAAGCCCCTAAATTTGAAGAAAAAATACTAACATTGTGCTAGTATAAATCTGTATTCATCCTTCTGAGCAACATTTTACAACTGCACATTTTAGTGTTAATTTATTTATTATTTTGTAATTAATTGATTAATATATGTGCTGTAACTTTAATTTATTGATGTGCGCAGTTACTGTTGTTACAAATAGCCTCTTCTATGATCACACAGTATACTGCATCCAATTACTTTGCTCTTTCATTCACACAGCCAGGGCGTAACTTTGAAAGTGCGTAAAAACAGCAAAACTGCTATAAAAACTGAGATAAAAACTCACACAACAGCTTTGATCAGCGAATAATTTATGTTTTGCAATACGAGCGCCGCGTTGGAGGCCATGACAGAGGGTCCATAACTTATCCCTATAGCTGTAGATGTAAAAGAAATATCCAGGATGAAAATGCAAATGAGACACATGCTCAATTTACTGCTTAGACTGGAGGACTTCAAGTGTGTGTGACAAGTTTTCATGTTTTTTCTAATTATGACTTGGGTTGATGGAATGGTACCTGTGGTAAATATTTATCTTAGTTTTTACATCAGTCAAGAGGCAGTTTGTGGAAAACAAGTTGAAAATAAAAGTCCAAAAATAAAGAAGTAGTGATGAGTTCTGAAATGTAACACATCAAACCCAACATTTTTTTCTTGGAGTTTAAACCTTAGTTTGAAAAAAAAACAAGATATTGCCATTTATTGTATTACTCTAATTATAATTATTGTGCAGTTTAGTTTTGCTCCTTGTTAAAATGCAAAAATGTAATTAACTCTATCTATGTTTCTACCAAAAAAATGTTGTTTTTGGGTTGCATTTTTACAAAATCATTATCTTTCATCGCATTATTTGTATGTGTGACATTTCTTATCACTGTTATGCTTATGGTGTTTTTTCTTCTCCCTCTTCTTCATGCTGTCCCTAAAAGAGCCGTACAGAGAGACAAGTATGGGAGTCACACTAAACATTGCTTATCAAATGTAATTGACTTTGGCTTTACTTTTCCTCCTCACCTCTTGCTGACAAAGTGATAATGGAAGTAATAGCACTCTTGTACAACTGTCTTAATATAAGTACCATTTAACAGGGCAATCGAAAGATATATGTAGCACCAGTAAATACAGAACATTTTACAATTTACAATTCACTTTGATCAAGAAAACACACTTTTCAAAGGATGACGAATTTGTCAGATTTGAGGTCAAACTTCAGACAAGAAACTTCTAACAAGCTGTATGGCCTTGTCGGAGTTATTTTACATTATTGCAAAATTGCACTTTGAAGTTATAACATGACTATAGCGAGATCATGGCACTCTACAGGATTGACAGTTTTAAGTACTTTTGTCTTTTAATTTTTCCTTTCTATGTAGGTTTATCTTCTCTCAAATTCAACCATGTCCAGTAGATACTATTAGTGCTGGTGTCAAGCCTTGATAAATACTCAGTTCTACAGTTCCAAAAGGGCATCTGAAGTAATATCAATGCTAAATTATGATTCATTGCTGTCTAAAACATGGACAAATTAAAATGTTTTGATACAGGTATGCTCATAAGGGACAATATGGTTGAGGTCAATTTCCAGGCTTCTAAATGTTGTGAACTGCATGGCCACTTTCTTTTTGTCTGGTTGCATATGACATTTGTGCTTTTTGGTGTTGTCTGTCTTGTTTGTTGTGTTGGTGGTCATGTGTGTTCATCTTTGATATCATATATAATGTAATGTGTTAACTGGTTTGCACTAAGGTAAGTATGAGTGTTTATAATGACAGATAATAGAGTGTAAATAATGCACCCAGAGTTTCACAAAGTGCACTTAAATCATGTACAGCAGCAGACACTGTGATATGAGTGCTGACTTTAAAGCACATTTGACCACTGTGGTTTATGATGATGGTTGTAATTTGTGGTTGACATTTCGCTTTGCATATCAGATCTTTCATTGTTTTTTTTCTGCACCTCTCCCCACCCCTGCACTGTGTGTCTTTTCAGAGGGAATACTGAACAATGCCCGGGATACAAGTGTCATGGATACTCTACCGCTGAATGGTAACCATGGCAGTTACAGCATCGCCAGCGCCGACTACATGAGCGACTGCGTCCAGATCATTGACAGGGGATACAACCACAAGGAGACCACCCTAGAAAAGAAGATCCTCAAAGAACTCACCTCCAACTATCTGCCCACATACCTCAATAACTCCCATGACCGCTCGGCTGAACAGAACCGCAACCTTATGAACAAGCTGGTCAACAACGTCAGTAATGGTGGGAAGGACAACGGGTATGGGATGGGTCTGGGAATGGGAATGGGCATGGGGATGGGCATGGGCATGAACGTGGCTTTGAGTTTGGATGACCACTCCACTTTTCCTCACCATGATGAAGGCTTGGGCTTGGAGTTGATCCGCGAGGAATCGAATGCACCACTTTTGCCTCAGAGGCCTCCGCCGACCTTAGTGGTGGACAACCTCCACAATCACCTGCACCAGCCTGTGCCCCCTGCCCTCCCTCTGCCCTTCTCCTCCGCCTCAGCCTCCTCATCATCCAGGAGGAGGATTCCTCAAGAGAACAGTGAAAGCTTCTTTCCTCTGCTCACCAACGAGCAGACTGAAGACGAGAGCTCCCCTCCACACAGCCACCAGAGAGACTCCCTGTACACCAGCATGCCCATGCTGCCCGGCCTCCCCGACGTGTCCCAGGACTCCGCCCACTGTAAAGATTCTGCAGACACCAAGAGCCAAGAGGCCAGCTCTGACGACGTTTACTATAAGAGCATGCCCAACCTGGGCTCACGCAACCACCTGCACCAACTGCACTCCTATTACCAGCTAGGCCGGGGCAGCAGCGACGGCTTCATCGTGCCCCCCAACAAGGAGGATGCCCCAGAGGAAGGGCATCCAGACGCATCACAACTGGTCACCAGCCTATAGGCCAGACGCTCACCGACAGCTCGTCACGTAGTCCTGTTTCCCTGTTTCCTTTGTCCTCTCAGTCGTTGACAGTGGTAGCCTTCGTTTTTACTATGTGTCCTAAAAACTAAGGCAGATGACTGCAGTCTGTTAGTGACCACAGAAGGGACTGTGCTCCATGTGTGGACCTGTGTCTGCTTCCAGTGTAGGACTCTTGTGTAGTGAAGGACTGGTGAGTTTAAACTCACTGTGCAGAGAGACGATAGCCACACTGGATGTCTGGGGCCCTGAACACTCTATCAGACTTACCAGAACAAATGGGATATCAAAGGACTATTTTATTATACTTCTGTTTTGACTTTTTCAGAGATTTTCTTCCTCTTTGGTGAGTTGCAGCAGATTTTATTTGCTGAAGTGTTCCTTCAAATGAAAAAAGACAAAAAAAAGAGATGGTGCATTTTGAACTCTGAAGGAAATCCTGATGCTTTTAAGCATAACCGTTCCCTTTTCTTTGATTTTACTGTAATAACAGTTGTTAAGAGGGAGAAAAAACTAATAAGAGAATTATGAGATATTTCTATGTAATTGTACAGATAACTAGCATTGCACATAACAATATGCTTTTTTGTTTGGAGCAAACCCTTTGTCTTTGTAAATGTAGTGCTTTGGAGCAGTTCTGTTGTGCTGGACTTTGGGTTCCTGGTACCAGTTGTTTTTGTTACTTCTTTTATCACTTTTTAAGAGTCTTAAATAGGCCAACACAGAAATACCACAGCAGAACGCAATGACCAGTGAAGGCATTTCTGTGTATTTCTCGTCTGTTTCTGTTCCCATTCACTTTGACTTTTTGCTTTGGACTGTGTAGATAGCAGATCCAGTGGTTACTGAGGAGATGAGTTTAGTTTGAGCTAATCACAAATGGTTCACTGCATCTTTACTGAAATTCCAAAAACGCTTGTGCTTCTCGCGATGAGAACAAAATGAACTTTGGTGAGCACCAGGCACTTGTATAAAAGATGGCTGTTTTACTTATTAAAGAAAGAGATTTTGGAGTGAGTAAACCCAATGTGTTTTTTTCATATTTCTTCTCTAGCAAGCTTTATTTATTTGTGAAAAAATCTCATAAAATGGGTAATAGAGCCAAGTCATACTGTTGTCTTTTTATTTCACTGAAAGTTCACCATTATTATATAGTAACTGTAAAAACATACACGCACATAACCAAATACTTCTTAAAATGACCACCAAGCAACAGGGGGAAAATGCAAATTTTATTGACAGAGGGTATCTTAACAATGAAATCATTCCTTTTGGCCAGTCTAGTTTAATCAATTCTAATAAAAGATGCCAGCAGCTGTGCTATGTATACCCTTTTATAAGCCCTGAGGTGTTTCACTTGTCCCTTTTAATTATTATATAAAAAGTGTGACATGACATTATGTAATTCTGCTGGTGGGAGAGTGTGCTTGTCTCAGTGAAGATGTTTTTGCTTTGACTGGAAGGTTTTACAGAAAGGCATTCAACTTTTATTCTGCTTCAGGTGTTTTTGTCACAGATAATTCCTTGAAAAAATATGAATTCTTACTGTGAGTTTGGTTGCACCTCCACAGATGACACCTTGACTCAATGGAGACATGCTTAATGCCTTACTGTGTGACACTGTTGGCAAAGCAATAGCATCTTAAAGGAGACATGCAGGTCTGTCAGAGTCTCCACCTGTGCACCTTTAAAGGGCCCATGTTATGCTATTTTCTGATTTATGTTATTATGTTGTTTGCCCATGACAAACATACCTGGAGTTGTGTTTTGCTTTATTCATACATGTTTAACACACAAACCCTGCATATTTAGGCTGAGTTCTTTCCTCAAACAGAAAACAATCCACCTTGTGATGTCATGTTGAAACAGAGGAAGTGCTCCAGTCCATTCACCTTCACTAGAATCATTTGGATGATTTCAGCCCTGGAGTTGCCAATATCTGTTAAACCAAAAGTAAAAGGTAGCTGTTAACTTGAAAACTACCACATCACTACATCACAAGCATTTTGAGCTTTAGAGATGTAGACAGACTAATGACCAAGGGTGTGAATGAAACAAAACACTGCAGGTACTCCAGGTCTGTTTTTGAGGAGGTAACAACATTCTAACACGGCTTAAAACTCATAAAAGTCAATTTTACAGAATATATGACCTTTAATATGAGTCCTTTTATGTGCCTCCGATAGTTTATGCCATCTGATAAATAAATAAATATCCATTTTTATTCCAGGTTGGATGTTTGATGGCGCTCTTCTCAACCCTCATGCTGGTGTTGTAGAGCTATGACTTGGGTGGACAGAAAGCTGAAATATGCAGAAGATGTGACAACAGTCAGCCTCCAAATCCACTTTTATTAATGAATCGTTACGCAAGCTTCATCCTGCAGCCTGCACAGTAACATGCTTGCTCTGCACAAACCGCGATGGTGGAGAAGCAACACTCCCCTCCTCTTTGCCTTCAAACACAACACAATTGACATGTTTAGCACCGCGAAAATATTGATATCGCAGAGTCCTGGAATCAGCAAGGTTGCCTGTGAATATTTTCTGTCCACCACAAAAGTGAATTGATTTTATTGACTCCTACGCAGGTCTTCAGATTAAAATCTGTAATTGCAAAAGGTTTTACTGCCTCTGCTCCTCAACAAAGCACCTAGATTTTCAAAGAACTTATCGTTTTTTGAGTCTGTTTCAACTGTGGAAAATTTTTGAAGCCATAAATTTCTCTGTGCATTTTCTTCCTTTGTACAGACAATTGTATTTGGTGAATAGGCGAATCAAGAGGGTCTAATGCTCGTGAGCAATTCACTGAAGACTCTTTGGTTAACTAGCCATTGTGCAGAATAACCCTGATTATGATCTATAGTACTGGACTAGAACCCATTCACCACTTAATCAAAATAAGAAAATGTGTCTTTTCAAAATCTTCTACTCCACAGATGTAGTACAATTATATGTAGGTCAGTTATGTATGTTTTGTTTTTGACGCTATGTATTTAAATTTTTTATGTTGCACCATGTAATATATTTGGTGGAGGATACGTCATCTGCTTGTGTCTACGGTGAGTTTTTCCACAAACAAGAATGCCATCAGAACCAAATTACTGATCAAATCTCTGAGGAATGTAAGAATGCATGTTTTTCCAATATTTTTTTAGCAATAAAACACCTATAATTGAAACAATAAGTCTAATACCATACTGTTTATTATAGGCAAAACACACTTACTTGGCATAATGCACTTTAAAATAGCTTTATTATTCCATATTGGCAGTAATTTTAACATAAATGGTCACTTTTATATCATGTTTTTCTACCTGAATCAAAGCGCTTTACATCAAGGAAGCACTCACCCATTGACACATCAGTGTATGCAGACACCCAAGAACTAGTGATGAGACTTTCGGCCCTTTTATGGTATCCAAATCGTTTGGATCTGTTCATGTCAAATAGCTGTTCAAAAGACTGGCTCTTTTACATTTATTTATATGACAAAAGCCAATGCGAGAACTCATTTCATCAACAAACTATCAGAGAAATACCAAGGCTCAGATCTGTTTGAAATGGTTCAAACTGAGAGTGGGAGTGTGTTTAACATTTGAAATTATGCATAATCTAAATAAAACATTGCACTACAATAATCATTTACAAACTAACGGTTATTACGATGCCAAATATGTTTTTTTTGTGCAACTCTCACTCAAAAGCCAAATCATTCACAAGTAACATCACATCACTACCAAGAACACAACCATTTTCATCTGAGGGAGTTGGAATCCACCAACAACGTTCATGTCAAGAGCGAGATTTGAACTGCCAACCTCCAGATCAGAGGATGAGCACTCTACAACAGACACCCTAATATGACACCTCTCTGTTAAATACCCAATTACCAAATGAGTCAGCTGTGAAGGAAAAGCTAAAGAAACCCCCATACTTTAATTTTGGTGTGAACCTGGATTCAGAAGTGATGAATAAATGGCACATTTCATATCTGGCCCCCTGGTGCAAAATCAATGGCGAAACACCTGGCAGAATTCCAAATGAAAGGTGAATCAATGCCATCTGCGGCGCTGTGTATTGGGACGACTTGACAGGCCTTTGCACATAAAAGAAAATACCTGGCCGTCTTTTTGAGTTGAGATAACATTGATTTAAGATGATGTGGGGATTCTGTCAATGTTTGCCACTCTGAGCCTCATACTGTTCATGGACTGTGGATAGCAGTACTTTGTAGATGGTAAAACATGAATGCAAACTACCATCTCAAATGCTAAAATCATAGAAAAGGTACATTTGTAAAGACTACTAATGAAGTTGTCACAATAATAATTTAATTGTTTTCATTAGGCCAAATATTTTTTTGGTACTTTTTATAATTTGAAGAATTGTATAATTAATTTGAAAAATTGGAAATGTGCATTTTAATTAAACAGTAACACTTGTCTCCACGGTGATGTTTTTATTTTTCTGCAGTAGGGCATTAAATGTATCTGTCTCACATTTATTAAAACATACCTGGAAAAACATGCATTCATACTGAGATTTGACCTTTAACATAGTGTAGTGTTGTAACCTGCTTGTCTTCATGGAGATGGATATGTTTAATGCCTACTATGGAAAATTTCAGGCAAAATAATGATCTAAATAATCTCTATGGATGTCGCCCACCTTTATTGGATCCTGGAATACCATACATTCACATCACAGTGCTATCCCCGAGGAGCTGGTTGACATTGCTGAAAGCCGTGAGAAAGCCTGGCAACCAACATGAGCGAGGAATTAAAAACAAAAGGTAGGTCTATGTGCTACAGATGTCAAAACCATATACTACCTGGAGTTTAATATCGCAGATTTGAGTGATTCACAGTGCCACTCAATACTTTGATACAGTAATACTTTTCAACATTAGGAACATCTAATAATCCTGATCATATAGATTACAACCCTCAGTGAAAGACATGGACAGCAACAGTTTACTATAAATGTAATCGTATATGGCAGGGGTGTCCCAACTTTTTTCATCAAGGGCCACATATCTAAACACAGATGAAGCAGAGGGATGATCGAGGGCTATGGACTGGAGCTCAGAACAGTGAATAATTGAAATATGTGCATGTTTAACACGTTAGAATGAGCCACCAGCCTTTATTCATGCTAAGATCCTTAAAACCACACACTAAATATTAAATATTAGTTTTATCAAGGTAGATTTTCAAAAAAGTTGCAGTAAAAAGTTCATTTTTAATTGATGCAAGGTAATTTGGGCCAATTCACCTGGAAGCCTGAGGGCCCAGAAAAATTTGTCTGAGGACTGCATTTGGCTCATGGGCCAAGGTTTGGACATGCCTGGTATAGGGTGACCAGATTTTTTCCAAATTAAAACCGGGACACATCTGGTTTGGGGTGGTTGGTAATAATAAAATACTTGTGAATCAGTATATGACACGAGTCTTCTGGCAATTTTCAAGCACAGTTTTCAATATTTAGACAAAAATATCTGGCAATATATTCCCCTCTTTACTGTTGTCAGTTATCATAATGGTCCAAAATGGGACATGTCTTGTATAAAACTGGGACTGGTTTTGTATAAATCTGCTGGGACTGGGGACACAGGGCTCAAAACTGGGACTGTCCTGGCTAAACAGGGAAATCTGGTCACCCTAGATTAGTGTTGTATACATTACATTTAACTTTACAAGCCTACCACACCTGTTTAATTAATAAGCTGAAAATCGCAGTTGTTATCTGGCAACATGTGACAAACTCATGCTTGCTAACCGGGGCTATTTTATTATTTATTTTTAATCATGGGATATTTTTTACAGCATCCAGTGTAGCATGCTTTTCCAAAAATGGGATCACAACTAGACAGGCCCTGGCGAAGTACAAGCCCCTGTTATCAATTTAAAAACACGGACAAAACTTGCAAGGTGAGTATGACAATTATGCTAATTTGCTAAGCGGCTAATGAT